GATACAGGTCGCATATGGGCAAAAAGTCGGATTTGGAGTAAGGCTGCTGTGTGAACGTAGGCCTGGACACAGAAGCAGGATTGGAACAAATATTCTGTAAATTATTGTAATAATGTCAGGAACTATAAAAAATATATTTTTTTAGGTCAGCAGGGGTTCTTGCTTCAGGTCTTTCTCCTAGGGACCATTTTTTTCTTAGCTTCCCTATTTTTGATGAACCATAAATACTTGCCTTTACTGAGGCAAGTTAACCTAACTGAAGAGCTTTAGATCATATTCTTTTGTTTTTTCCTGTTATCTCCTGGATGAACTGTCGATGCACACTTGTTAACCCTTGTTAGAAAAGGGCAACAAAGCCAATACTGGTCCACAAAATTTATCAAATATTTGAAACCAGTTTTTTTTATATTTCATCAGTTTATCATTTTTGTTGAAATGTTTTCAAAATTTTTCAAACATTTCCCATGATTTGCTACTTTCTTATCCTTTTTCTACAAAGGTAACCTTCCTCTCCCTCTTCCTCTCCATCACTCCCACTCAATCCCCAAATCCCTTTCTTGCTTTGGATAATGGTAATTAGAATATCACTATGATTGAAAATTGGCAAAGCTTAAAGAGGAAATAGGTTTTCTAATCAAAAGCTGCCTCTTTGCTGGAATCCTGATGCTTCCTTGGCTGAAAAATGTTCTTCTATGATGAGAGCCTAAATGACTGCCAGACAGTTCTGAAGGCCAACTCTCCCCTCTCTTTCTGCAGTGTTGGACTAATGCCTCCGCTCAGCCTAATTTCACTGATTCTTTCATTCCCTTATTTTAGGTTTTAGATGACCTCCTATCAAGGAGACTTTTTATTGCTTTAAAATCAACATGTAGATAACTCCAAAGCACTGGGTCAGTTTCAACACCATACCTGTCCTTAGGTTGCTTGTTACTGTATGTAAATATTATGCAAAAGTTAGAAATTTTACATCTCAGAGGTTAGGTGCAGGACTAAGGTGTGTTATGTTAGGTGTGTATTGATATTAAATAGGGTAAGGGTCTGGGTTAGGAAATGGAATGAATGGGAAATGTTTGGGAGTTAACATTGCAGCAGGAAGGTTCTGGGTTCGATTTCTGGCCTAGGGTCTTTCTGCATGGAGTTTGCATGTTCTCCCTGAGCATGCTTGGGTTCTCTCCGGGTACTGGCCGGGGACTGGCGACCTGTCCAGGGTGGACCCTGCCTCTCACCCGTTGACTGCTGGAGATAGGCACCAGCACCCCTCGCGACCCCAATTGGGAGAAGCGTGTCAGATAATGGATGGATGGATGTTTGGAAGTTAATATACAGCAACAGCCATTTAAAATGGGCCTTCCCAGTCAAAAGCCAGGCGAATGGCTTCCCACTTCCCTCCAACTTCCAGGGAAATCTCCTCCAACTTCCATCCGCTGGAGTGACCCCCTCTTGCATATATCTTTACTCTGACTCCACCCTTTCACTGAATTACAGAGTCTGACCAGGAGATGACACTTCACTTTAGATCTTAATGTCCCCAAATCATGACAGAAAGAATATTTTAGTACAAAGATTCATGTTTTGTAAAGGAATTGTAGGGGACAAGCCTAGGGCCCATCAAGGAATGTTGGGTAATTTTGTATGGCTACTACTGTAAAGTCGTCAAAAGAACAGCAGAGCATGACTTATGTGTATGTATGATTATCATTTAATTCTGTGTTATGTAAAAAAGGAAAAGAAAACCTTTTTCAGAATCTAGGAGAGAATTGTCCATAATGGGGCCCAGGGGCTGTTCTTGCTTCCTGGATTGATTTTCTGCAGCCACCGATTGCAATTCCAGAGTACTACATTTTCCACCAGGCAGCACAGTGTTACATTAATATCCGCAAATGAAAATCTACTTAAAATACTATATCAGATACTAAACAACAGATTTGTCTTCTGATAACCAGGCTTCCTGCTTGCTTTAATAGAGCATCATTCATCAAGTGACTTTTACTCCAAGATCGGATTTTCTCTTCATAATTTATGTTTTGTTCCAACTTTTGATAATGATTGTTTTTTTATTTATTTATAGCCTAATATTATTTTCTCATCCGCAATGCTTATAATGAAAAAAACTTCATAAGTTTTGGATCTACAATATTGTTCAATTGTTCACATTCCTTCCCTACATGAAATCAGACTATTTCCTAAAGTTTTATTGATGTTTAGCTTTTATAATGGAGCTGGTAAAAAAAACAAAAATTATTTATGTTTTATTTTTGTCTATATTGTGTCATCAGTACTTTCTATTGACAATTTTGGCTAAGTGACCAAAAGTTTCATCTGAACTAGTTTAGGATATATAAACAGAAAATTTAGAACAGTTTTCACATCAATGCTTTAGTTTTTTTTTTTTCTTGTGGTCAATCATCCTGAAACTAATGGGTGTTACGTTTTCAATATGGCATTAATCAAATATTTAATTACTAAGAAATTAAAGTGAAACATTATAGGTATAGATATAATATGATTAATTTATCTAATTTCATAAATTAACTGTTTTTAGGTCACATTAAAATATTTTACTTAAAATAGGTTTAATTAACTGATTTCCCATAGTTTTAAAAAATTGATGTTGCTATTTATTGCTTTAAATTACATACGTTGAAGCATTCTGCTTGCTTTCATTTTGATGTTGCAGACCTGTTAAAGAAAATGTGATTGTTTGATGTATAAAAAAGTTCTATATTGAACCACTAAGTAATTATATTTTATATATTTATCATTTTTTCTTATCATTTTTCTTTTCTTTTCTACTTTTTTCCTCTGGCATATGCCAGTTGAAAAATGCCTTATGCCAGTTGGAAACTGGTACCAGTTGAAAAACAGAATATGCCAGTTCCATCAAAGGTCCTACATGGGCGCTGAATATCTAAATATGGTTTTATAGACACTATATTTTTCCAGTCATGAAAAAGTTATTTTTATGTATGTAGTGGCAAATATGTCTGTGTTGATAAAGATATTAAATAGTCCTACCACCAAATCTTGTTTGCTTTGATAATGTGACTAAATATTCCAGAAAAGGCAACATATTGTCAGTATGAAGCGGATCCAGAGTCATCTGCTAACAAAAAAATGGTTAAAACATTTTAACAAATGAACAGATTTTGTGTTGTTTTGAAGAATAATTGGACATTTCTTTAAATAATAAAGGAACTAAGTCAGTAGTTTATCCTCAACTTTAATTTGTTAAACTCATAACTCTACAGTGACTAGTTATTTATATTTAGATTTCACGTTTTTAGGCAAGATGGTTTGTGACTAAAAGGAAATGCAAAATACTAAATAACAAAATGGCAAATTTTGTCTGCTTTGGATTTCCTTTTAATTACTAATAAATGGAAAGTAATTGTAAAATAGACTAATCTGAAGTAAATATGCCAAAGTAATAGGTTAACAAAGTATATGGTTAAAATGACAGAAAATATAAATTACATGATTTAATTCTTACATTATGATGAATTGTAGAGGTTTAAAAATTATTAATTTTTTATTTATTTATTTATTTTTATTTATTTTTTTTGCTGTTGCAGTTTTAAATGATTAAGAAAGAAAAATTACATTTAAAAAATTAAGTTTTTGCTGTCAGTATGTAACCATGATTATATGTTGCTGAGGCACAGGGCACATCTAATACACAGATATAAGTTAAAACCCTTATGGAAAACAAAGATGGCATCCTTCCACATACCGAAACGAGATAACATACATGGAATATGGCATGGTTGCGGGAGGTTACTGGTTCGATTTCCTGCCCGGGGTCTTTCTGCATGGAGTTTGCATGTTCTCCCTGAGCATGCGTGGGTTGTCTCTCGGTACTCCGGCTTCCTCCTACAATCTAAAAACATGACAGGTTAATTGGCTTCTCTAAATTCTCCTTAGGTGTGAGTGTGTGTGTTTGTCTCTGTGTTGCCCTGCGATGGACTGGCGACTTGTCCAGGGTGGACACCAGCACCCCTCCTGACCATGCTGGGGATAAAGCGCATCAGAAAATGGATGGATGGATGGATGGATGGATGGATGGATGGATGGATGCAACTGTTGATGAAACTGCCTATGGCTGGCTGGGGCGTCTGCTTTCACAGATTTTTGTAAATAAATTGCTGTAAATACTTTTCTTGTTGATGTAATTTTCCTGCATAGTTTTCCTGCCAGAAGTGGGACGATCAGTGCTTGCCCAGAGGTGCACTGGTGGCATCTCTGGAAATGCGTCTGGCCCTTTTCTGAACTGGTTCAGATCCACTTGGTGTTATCCAATATCCCTGTGATGTCCTCTCCACATATTTTTCCACTCCTATGCCATGCAGCCCCCACCTCACATACTCAGGCATGATTTCCACTGTTGCGCTTACTGTAAAAAGTTTTTGAACACCTGAGCATAGCCTGGTTTGTCTCTGTTGTTTGACCTTCACCTGGCTGGACGTGTTCTCAGTCTAAAATAATTTATCTTTGTTTTCCACAAGTTCCACCATTTCCCCGTGTATGAAGAGAGCAGTGATCCTTTGTGTTTCTGGTGTCCAATCTAACTACATTATGTTTTAGCCCCCAAACTTTCTATTAAAGTTATTAGCTATGATCAAATGCAGAAATAAGGCCTATCTTCACATTTTATTTAAAAAGAATTTAAACTGCAGCCTATTTCTTTACTTCCTATGAATAGGATATCAGGATGGTGCTACATTGTAAGTGGATTTGTTGGTCTTTTATATCACAAATGCAACCGTTGTTTTCTTAAAAATACTCTATTATTTCAATGAGTGTTTCATCCTTCAGCTGAAAACGACACATTTTCTGCTTATTTTTTTTGTTTCTTTGTTCTTTACCAGCATGCTCTATTATATTCATGCAAATCAAATCAGCCTTAAGCAGGTGCTTCACAGCTAATCCTCCTTTCTGTTCTTTGTTTTTTGGCCCCAACCCCACCTTCCCTGTTTCCACCTACCTGACCCTTACAACAAAAGGAGCTTCACAGGAACCAGGTAAGCTTTTTCCTGCATGTTTTCCTTTCCTCTTTGCCGTCCCTATCTTTTCCTGTTTATTTGATTCATTTATTTTATGCAGTCTTCCTTTTAACTCCTTGTATTTGAGTCAAAAAATGTCACAATAATAATAAGTTGCTAGTTCATATAATATACAATTGATCTTAGGTGTCTCCAAAGTAGGCAAATGGAGCTGTGGCTCCCAGTCTTAAGCCAAAAATGTATCTGATCTGCAGTTTTCGAATTTCATAAAGTGTCTTTTAATTTTTTTTATAATTTGTAAAAAAAAAACAAAAGGAAAATATTTGCTAAACTCTAATGCAAACCTCCTTGTTCAGAAAGTTGCTTTCCCTGAGCATAACTGGGAGTTTATTAAAAAAGGTAGAATGAACTAAACCGTAGATCACATCTCTTAGTGTCCTGACAGTTCTGAAAATCTCAGACTGTAAATCGGAGAAAATTTGATAGAAAAATGTTTCACACCACTGTGAAACATTTGAATGGAAAAAGCTTCCTGGATTGGAAGCGAAACATCGTCAAACTTGGAAACAGAATCCAGTGGTTTGTTTTTTAATTTTTTTGTGGAGTTTAACACTAATACAGGAAGACAGAGCTGGTGGCTTTGACCTGTAACCTGTCAGTGGCAGCAGAACGAGAGATCAGATCGATGTCTCGTCCCCAAATGTAGAAAGGCAAATGTTGTCAAATTAAATTTAGCTACAAACCCTTTAACTGGAATGATAAATGTGAAGTAAGTCAAAAGCAGAAGAAAAATGCATCAAGTAGAGATCTTCAGAATAAATGCATGGTATATCCGTCAGCTACGCCACACTGCAAAAAATGGAAAATGAGTCATTTTTGCTTAAATTAAGTGCATTTTTTCTTGAATTGAGGAGTTAACTGAGATAATTTGCCAATGGAACAAGAAAATTTACATTTAAAATAAGAAAAGAAAAATAGCGTTGTCTTATTTTGAGTGCATATTATCTAATTATCTTGTTTTAGGAGTAGAAATACTCATTCCATTGGCAAATAATATTACCGGTATTTATCTGCTAAATTTAATGGTAAATACACTCAATTTAAGAATTTTTTTTACTTAATTCTAGATGTTTTTTGCAGTGCACCATGCTTCCTGAAAGACACCAGCCTATACTGATTCTTTAGTTTTTCCCCTGACAATGATTCATGCGACAATGATTCATGCACTGAAAAACTGGAGGCAAATAAAAAAATCTGTCAACTTTCATAAATTACCTGTTTCACTAGGCAATAAAGTGAACATCTGATTGTTTAGCATGCATATCAGTTTGTGAGCAGACCAATCGGTCTGTCTACATTAAGGTTTGTTCCACCCACTGCGATCCATGACTAAAGGAGGGTTCAAAAAGAAAATCCCAATGTGTGGCGAAAGAAATAATCAAATTAATGCTACAAAAAGGAATTCCGATTTTAAATGTAGAGTTAGAAATCTAAAAACATTACATATTATCTAAATCAGAGGTCTTCAACTGGGGGTCCGTGGCCCCTAGGGGGTCCTTGGAGGTACTGCATGGGGGTCGCAAAAGTTTTGATTTATTAGGCTTTTTTTAATATTCCTCCTGCTATTTTTTTCTACTAATTGAAATGTCTTTAAATACACATTAACATGACTTCAACACACTGTAGTAAGCAGATAAATGGAGGCAGAAGATGTCTTTCAGTCATCAATGCACACATTCAGTGACACACAGGAGCTCTTTCAAGCTGGGCACCGTTTCATTCACAACACCTGTCCCATCAACCAGGAATCAGAATAAGAAATACCTTAATAATCCCAGGGCAAAATTACTTTCGTTACAATACTAATATTTTTAATAGAGTGGCTATAGGACCAGTTTGATATAACACAATTTCATACAATATAAATAATTAGGGGGTCCCCGCTCCATCTCGCCATCAGTTTGGAGGTCCTTGGCCTGGAAAACGTTGAAGATCCCTGATCTAAATGATTACATGTAATGTAATGGTTGTGGACTGATGGAGTCCGATTGAAGTTTTGGTTCTTTCTCCCTAAAAAGATCTGAGCAGGCTTTTAAAGTATTTTTATTTGCAATTCATTATAAAAATGTAAAATATAGAGTAATTTATTTTGCTTTTGTTTATAATGGAAGAGCGAGGCCCCCCCTGAAGGTGTCCGGTCTTGGAAATTCCCTTCCAGTTCTTTTCCTGGGAGCAATCCACTAAGTTTAACCGCTCTTTTGCTAAATGCTCTTAGGTTTAGAAAAGTGAATAAAGCAATAATAAAATGTTTAACGGGATTTATTCCTGATCAGAATTAAGACTGTGTACTCTATGTACTTTGCTTATTATATAGGTGATATAACAACAGCATACTTGACTAATAAAGAAAAATGCTAAAATGTTTATTTTACATCACAAAACAAAGGGATTTACTGTAAGTAGCCATATAAACAGGAAGAACAAGAGAGATCATAGCATGACAACAACTGCAGATGCAATACCTGACCTCAACAACTCACTAAGCTCTGTCTTTCCTTATTCTTTCCTTATATGTACCTGTTGCTTCTGCAGAAATGAGGTGTTAATAAAATACATTTCATGCATAAAATATAAGGAATGTCATCACAGATTTTTTAAAATAAATTTGTTATTAAATTTTGTTTTATTAAAACTAGAATCTTGAAAGCATTTTGACAACATTGTTTGTATTAGATCAACAGAAGCTAGTGCATTAGGTTTTTTCATACTTTTTGACTGATAAAGTCGGACCGAAAATGACTGCAGAGTGGAATATACTGAACAAGGTTTTATAAGCTTCTGAATCATTAAGTTCACAGTTTCTCCCACAACTGTACTCGCTCTCATTAAAACTTTTTATTTTAATCACCGAATTCATTTCAACACTTAAAAAAACCCACCTTTCCAAGTAATGCATGTGGGTATTGCTCAGGTTTCAACGCCATCTTCGTTAATGCCTTCCCCGCCACTTTACAGTTTCTTTCCCCAACCAACTCTTTTTAATCCAATTAGCAGCACTGGTGACAGTTATTTATATGTGCATGAATTAAATGTGAAAAGAGTACCTCCCTTGGGGGGCTGATTGGGTGAAGCACAGCCTTTCAAAAGCTTTTTTCTTGATCACAATCCTGCACTGCAGCTGATCTCCATCATGAGCAACAGCGAAAACCTCACAGCCAAGGACGACCGCTGGTCCTTCTGTCTGCGACTTGAAAACCAAACGCTGCCCAGTTTCTGTCCTCAGAACCGCAAAAGCCGTTTCATGTGTCAGCGAGGCTCTTAAAAAGAACATTTTTTGACACATTCTAATTTTGAAGTTTTAATAAGCCTTCCATCAGTGCTCAGGTTGATCTTAGATCTTCGGTTCTGTTACTTTTTGTCGCGTGGACTGAACTGTCGGTGGTGCCAAATGAGCAAGCAAGCTGCCAAATCTGACTCGCTTACCCTTTTGAACTCTTTGCCAACTAGTACTTTAGAGAGAGTAGAGAAAGTAACTGCTTTGAAGGTTTAAAAAAAATCACAACTGGTTCCAGAACACAAAGAGACACATTTCCCAACACTAGATCTTAAAAATTGGCTGTAACACCACAGCCAAGAAGATTCCAACACTCTTTAGAGCTACCTGAGTGTCTCCTCTTTACGGTGTCACAAAAAGAAAATGGAAAAAAAGAACACCACCTTACAAATTTGACTTATTTTATGCAGATTTATATATTTCATATTAACAAAAACCTGATTAACAGGAAAAAAAATAAAATTAAACTCATTTTAGAGTGAATCAGGGTGTAGATGCAGTGCCTCATGTCCCGACCTCAGGAGATTTGTAGCATGTCTATCTGCCATTTTAGTAGCTGAATGTTATGACTTAAAGTCACTAATGCAGTGAAAAATATCTTACAAACAGAAATAAGTAATTTAACTTTAAAATTAAACACTCCAGGCTTAATAATTTAATTGGTGGCTATATGCAGAACCGCTGATGAGTGACTAATAACATTTTAGAAAATTCCTCCAAATACAATAGAAAAACACTTTTTTCCTTCCAGTGTGAAAGACCTGTGTTTTCAATCCAAACCTGAAATCTGTCTGCTTGGAGTTTGCATGTTCTTCCTGTTCATATTAGGGTTCTCCCCACAGTTCAAAAAACATCTTAGGTTTACTGTACTTGGTGTGGATCCCAATCAGACAATACCGATCGTATCAGCATCTATCACTTCAATTAAAGACTGATAAACAGTTAGTCCAGGTAGATAACTACAGCTCCTGTTTCTGAACTTAAGAATTTTTGTTTTCTTATTCTGTGTCTACATAGAACATTAGATATGAGCTGTTTTTTTTCATGTCTCAGCCTAATAAAGGAACTTGTTTGAGTGCAGGTGTAATTTATACTTACAGTCCATCTTTATGTACCAGTTCCATCAACTATGTCTAGCATTAGCTTGAACATTAAACAGCTGTTGCAAAGCTGCCTACAGACGAATTGACTAGTTTATTGCGTGACACATGGTATTCTTATAACGTTGTTATTGCTACATTAATGCATTTAGATCAGGTTGATCTCAGATCTTCGGTTCTGTTACTTTTTGTCACGTGGACTGAACTGTCGGTGGTGCCAAATGAGCAAGCAAGCTGCCAAATCTGACTTGCTTACCCTTTTGAACTCTTTGCCAACTATTACTGTACTTTAGAGGGAGTAGAGAAAGTAATGATAGTACTGCCAGCTAACTGCTTTCAAGGTTTTAAATATATTTTACATTAATATATTATTATTACATTAATATAATGCATTTAGATCGTTAAGAGCAATGTTGTGACAAAAAAAAACACAAAAAAAATGCAAGTCCAAATTAAAATCTCTAAATTCTCCATAGGGAGCAAATTATTTGGTATCCTAGCTCTGACTTTCAAACACAGGATTTTAAGGATTACTTATAAAGTAGCTACTAAGGAATAGTTATGGCAGTGGATACTAATAATTT